GCCTGAGGTCAAAATTAGAGGGAGCCTGTATCTGATGAAGAGTCATTCGTAATTGGATTCAATTCCTGGTGCTGATGTGTGACCTTAGGGAAATCAACACCTCTTTACCTCAGTGCCCTCATTTGTGGAGTCAGGGTAATGGTAATGCTAACCTTCCAGAGGTGCTGTCAACCTTTAAATGAGATTTATGGCCTTCGTACATATCAGTGAGGTGTGTCTAAGACATGTGTCCTGAGTTGGTATATGTAAACTGCTTAGCACAAAGGCTAGTTCAGAGCAAGGCAGTGATTATTAAAAAGTTAGTTAATGGGGCTTCTCTGGTGGCACAGTGGTTGGGAGTCTGCCTGCCGATGCAGGGGATGCAGGTTCGTGCCCCAGTCTGGGAGGATCCCACGTGCCGCGGAGCGGCTGGGCCCGTGAGCCATGGCCGCTGGGCCTGCGCGTCCGGAGCCTGTGCTCCGCAACGGGAGAGGCCACAGCAGTGAGAGGCCCGCACACCAAAAAAAAAAAAAAAAAAAAAGATAGTTAATGATAAAATTAAAACAGAAGCTAATTCTTTAGGCCTTGTATTCTGCAATGCCTTCTAGTAAAAGGAATAGTTAGTATCAGTTTTAACAAAAAAATTCAATTTTGTGTATTACCCGTGAAGATGGTCAGATGCAATGGTAAGAACAGAAAACCCACATTTGATTATTAAAATGGTTATTTATTACCAGTGTCATTTAAATGTCTGTTTTGCTTATCTAATTCTGTGTAACAAAATTCCCCCAAGTTAGTAGCATAAAGCAACCCTGTATTATACTCCTCATTTCTGTAGGTAAGGGTTTCAGGCCAGGCACCCAGGAGAAGGTCACCTTTAGCTGCTGTATGTGTAAATTTAACCATTATATGTCAAATAATTATCTGCAGGGACTGACACCTTGTGGGTACTGGACATGTGCTGTCTTCAAGGCAGCAGACTTGGTTCTAGTTGCTCCTGTTGTCGCCCAGTTTGGGCAAGTTACTTATCCTCACTCACCCTTAATAGCCACAACCATCGAGTCACAACCTTGAACGAATTTAAAAGGCTCCTTCAAACTCATAAAAAAACATTGATTTACTGACTTTTGTTTTTTTGTCATACCCCTCTGTAACTCCAAATACACGTGTTAAAACGCACATTTATCGAGTGTCTGTAGTGTGAATGCTTGGATAGATGAAGAATGTCCGTAAAGGAAAAACTTCTGTTGAATACTCTAGGAAGCAAAAAGAGAAAACCCCTCTTCTAAGCACAACTCTGTACGGCACTCAGACTTTTTAATATTGCAACATGCATCCTACATCTATCTACAGAATCACAGTGCCTTATCTCCTGTGTCTCTGGGACATCATTAAAGTGCTTCATTGGTTACAATTCTGATTTTATCTATGTCCTGGGCTTCTCCATTCTTGCCCTTTTAAGGTCCTCCTCTGGCCAGTTACAGCACCTCTGGGCCCCAGCCCAAAGTCTCCTTAATGGGTAAACATTATGTTCCCATATACGAGGGGTGAGACTGAATCTTTGTAGGCAGCCCTGCTCGGGGAAACCATCTGTTAGGTGTGGGCGTTCTGCGCTTCAGGAAAGTCCCCGAACGATACTAAATTCTATCCTTGCAGAGAGGAGTCTGCCTGCTTAGATATGTGAAGAGGTTTATAGGCATCACCTTATTGAGTCCTCAAACAACCTTGTCAGATGAGGAACGTGAGACATGGAAGGGCTAAGTAAGCGGCCTGAGGTGAAGAATCTAGCAAGGGGCAAGGCAGGAGCTGCCTTAACTGCTGGAGCACAGATCTGGGCAGTGGAGTGCGGGCTTGCACGGGGATGATTTGGGTACCTGGTGGCCTCTTCAAGGCTGGTCTCGTGCAGCGTGCGCACTTGGGGCACGTGTTTGGGGTGGGGAGGCATGAAGAACTACAGAGTGTTTAAAAGAAAACATAGCAGAGCTTGGCAGCAAATGGAAAAGGAGAGGAAGAAAGGGGAGAATAAAGTTACTACGCGTTGAAACCTGCTGTGGGGAAATACACATGTTACTGATTTGACTGAGGAGTCTCACTTCCTTGAGGTATAAATAGGATTCTTTCCCCCGCAAACTACTACCAACAGTGCCCTCTTCAACCAGCCTTCCCTGCTGGTGACAGGTTCCTTTACCAACGTCTCAGGCCGAGTCCATGCCTTTTCCGTCAGTGTTGGTGTTAACAGTCTTATTTCAGTTGCTCTCCAGGCCAGCTTCCTGGGCTGTGGGCAGGGCTGGTGCGGCCACCGGGGACCCTGATCTCAGAAGGGCCCTGGGCTTGCAGCTGAATGCTCTGCACTTGCCATCTTGACATTCTTAGTAATGTCGTCTCTGGATACGTACTTGTAAGTCTGATGGGACAAGGTACCCAGGGGCTTTGGAGCCTCAGCCCCATGTGGAAGACCTTCTGCCACCACCCTCACCCCCTCCAGCCTCAGAGCCCTACAGAAATACTCCCCTTCCTGTCACTAGCCAGCGACGGCTGCTGCCTGTCCCCAGGGGGCCCGGGAGGAGCCGCACAGCCCAGGGCCTCCATGTGGGGCACAGGTGCCAGGCCCCGTGGTGGGCAACACAGGCTGGGTGAGCCTCTGACCCACTCCCAACCCAGATACCAGCACTGAGGGTGCAGCACCGCTCAGGACACATGTCCCCTGCGAAGGGGAGCCTGGGGACTGTTAGGCCCGAGTGCAACCTTGTAGCCCGTTTGGGCTCCTGGAGCTCATGAGGGTCCTCACTTGGCCTGTGACGGTCCCTGTGCTTGAGGAAGAGTGACATTAAATAGGAATAAAAAAACTCCATGACAGGTTGAGAGGCCATGGATGAAAGGCAAAAGCTTTGAATTTTAGTACTTTTAAGGGTGATGTTTCTTGCTTTTAAAGCAGGGAGCCTCACGTTTTCATTTTGCATTGGACCCTGAAAATCATGTAGTCAGTTTGGGTTATTTATTTTTTTATTGGACTCCAGTTGATTTATAGTGTTGTGTTCGTTTCAGGTGTACAGCAGAGTGAATCCGTTGTACATATACACACATCCATTCTTTTTCAGGTTCTTTTCCCATATAGGTCATTACAGAATATTGAGTAGAGTTCCCTGTGCTGTACAGTAAGTTTATTACGTTTTAATCATCTTATCCTTTTACAAACTCTAATCTCATATTCAACTGAGCATGCTCCTACTGCCTCTCCCCTGCTCTCCGCCCCCCCCCCCCCCCCCCCCCTTTTTCCTTCCGGGGGGGGAAGGGGCCGGGTGGCTCTGGGGACTTGGGGACGTGACAGCCCCATGGCAGGGATGGGAGGATGCTGCTTGTTTTCCGTCGTTCATCATAATTGCTGTAGCAACTTGTCTCCAGAGGCCCTCCCGATCTGCTGCTAAGGGACTCAAACCCAAGGAGCTTTTCTAAGTCACGGTGGTGTCTCCTGGGACCTGGCTACCACTGCTGCTGACTTCTAGTTGATAGCTGCACTCAGTGTGCGTGTGAGGAGGGTGGGACCCTGCGGACCCACCCTGACCCCAACCTATCCTCTGTGGTCCTGATTCTGGAGCCTCGGGGCTCAGGTAGGTACCATGCCGTGTATCTGCGTAGTTCTTGGCCCTTCTCTGCCTGTTTTCCCCTGAGCTCTGTTGGCACTGGGACCAGCTGGCCATTCTGGTGACTCAGAGGACATCCAACTGGGGAACAAAGTACCACTGTCACCATCTCTCAGTTACACAAAAACTTCAAGACACATCTCTCTTCTTGAACTTAGACCTTCGTTTCTGAGACACAAATCAGTCCACAAAAGGGATGTTAAATGGAAGAGAGTGGCCTCTCCTTACAAACACGGCGTTTCTCCCCTAATCTCCAGACAGCCCAGATCATCCTCTCTTGCCCAAGGGGGCAGAGTGAGCAGGGGGCTCCTTGTAGGAACTGAGCCCACTTTGGACTCAAATTTATTATCTCTGCTTCCAACAGAACGCTGACTTCGCTCCAATCCCTGCGGTCATTTGGTAATCCCTTAGGGCAGGAAAAGATCTTAATTACCAGAACTCACAAAGTCCTGTCATCCACATGAACACACATCATTTCGCAAGCTCGGCAATGAGTATATGTGTCAACATCATTAATCGATATTTACTTGGTAGTATCTGTCATGTGCCTACCGTTTAGGGAGTGTCCATATAAGGCATTGTCTGTAGCCTCGAGGGCTTTTCAAATAAGTTGGAGAAGAAGAGACATCCACACAAAGCTATCAGGGACAGCACATGATGATATACGTGAGATGCTGAAAGAATGGTCTAGGCAACAAGAATTGTGTTAAGTGCGAGAGGAGAGATTCCAGTGGCCAGGAGGGTCTGGGAGGATGTAGAGCAAGGAGGACTTAGGACACAGTAGGGCCTTGAAGGGTGTGTAGGATTTAGAGAAGCCAAGGAAGGAGGGAGTAGATAAGCAAAAGCATGGAGTTCGGATTGTCTGTGGTATTTGAGGAATATTCCACCATACACAGAACCTTTGTCCATCTTTCCCTGAAGAACTCCCAGCCCCTTCCCAGGGGTAGTCTTGCCCTGGGAGCCATTCATGCTGTAGGTGACCATCGGGGATGCAGTGATGGGTGTTGCTCATTTTATTTTAATTAATTAATTAACTTATATAAATTTATTTATTATTTTTGGCTGTGTTGCGTCTTCGTTGCTGCCGGCGGGCTTTCTCTAATTGTGGCGAGCGGGGGCTGCTCTTCGTTGCGGTGTGCGGGCTTCTCATTGCAGTGGCTTCTCTTGTTGCAGAGCACGGGCTCTAGGTGCTGGTGCTTCAGTAGTTGTGGTGCGTGGGCTCAGTAGTTGTGGCTCACGGGCTCTAGAGCACAGGCTCAGTCGTTGTGGCGCACGGGCTCAGCCGCTCTGCAGCACATGGGATCTTCCCGGACCAGGGCTCGAACCCGTGTGCCCTGCATTGGCAGGCGGATTCTTAACCACTGTGCCACCAGGGAAGCCCGGGTGTTGCTCATTTTAGGCTGCTACCCTGATGGGGTTTCTGCCAAACCCTGCAGCCCGGCCTTTGGCATTCAACGCCAGGGCCTCCAAGTGAGCAAGACAGAAGGACGATCTGTCTTCACCAGCAGCAGGTAGCTAGGGGGCCAGCCACAGCCCTCCACAGGCATGGAGACATTCAGATGCACAGATGCAAAGATAAACACCGGTTCTCAGATACAGTGAGATCCGGATACAGTGCCAGCCAGCCTGGAGAGTCCTATGGAAGCCCCGCCATGGGAGCCCTGGGTCCCTGCTGATCATCTACTACAGGAGGCCAGGAACTTGTTCAGGAAATAAAATCATTTTTCCTCAAGCCAGATTATCTGTCTTAGGACAGGCTCCCTAGAGGCAGAGCTTGAGGCAGGGATGGGGTTCCCGTGATCTGTGGAGGGTCAGCCCTTCGGGAGAAAGCTGTCAGAGACCGAGGGAAGGAGGGTCGAGGAGGGATGGAACCGGGAAGAATGTGATCGAAGGTAAAGTCTGGCGCCGGCCCCATGGTGGAGGGGGGGAGTGGGGGTGTGCCGTGGGGCTGGTGGGACTGGGCTCTGAAAAGTGGTCCTTCCTTGAGATCAGGGGCTATGTTTCTGTAGCCTGGATCAGACGGGGGCTGCGGGCTCTGGTGGGAGGAGAGAAGAGACTTAACTCCTAGGTTGGCTCTGGCCAGGAGGGAGCTTGGAGAAGCAGAGTAGCATGAACTGTTAGCAGCCAACATTCCTAGCAGCCGGGTAATGGGTGTAGACGCCCAGGAAAGTCCATCTGGGCAGAACTAGGCAAGTGCCCCACAGTGTTTACCACAATATCAGGACAGGGACTTATTATTGTTAAGTAGTTCAGTGTCACTCTTCACCCTACCTGCCTCCCTGGACCCAGATAGGGCCCCAAACCCACCTGCACAAGAAATCAGGGCCCGTCACAAAGCTTTTTCTTCGTAGCAGCACAGAGAAGTGGCCAAAGCTTTGACACTGTGTTTTTCTTCCTTTCCATCAGATGATGGCTGTCCTAGGTAGGGCAGGAGGTCCCGGGTGTCCTTCTCTGTAAACCAAGCAAGGTAATTGCGGTCAGTACAAAACAGCCCTGGGTGCAGGAATTGAGAAGGGTGTGTGTAGGTTTCCTCTTTTCCAGTTACACAAGGAAGTAACTTTGGCTTTGAAGTTGCAATATCTATGATTTACTGGCATTTGGAGAATAGATTCAGACTGAATCACTTTTATAGCACCAGAACAGCATGCTTCCTCATTAAGTGGAAAAACAAACTGGAGAGAAGAGACTTAACTCCTAGGCCTGGCTCTAGATTTTAGTCTCCCAGATTTTCTTACTGTAATTGAACCATGAAGGTTTTAAGTGTAAAAAGAAATGGAATGATACAGTTTTAAATTCTTATCAGTTCTGATGGGAAATGGTGGCTTTTGTAGAGTGGGTGGAAGTGAAATGGGGAAGGAGTATGACAGGAATGAATTTGTCCAGATAAAGAAAAAAGAATAACAGTCTCATGTTAAAACAATTTTTCAACAAAACATTTGGCTTAAAATTTACTTAAATTTCTGATGTAGTTCACTTTTAGAATTTTACATACACAGACTTACGAAATGGGGATCATAGTGTACAGTTTGTAACCTGTATTTTAATTAATAATGAATATTATAAGTTATACAAATATATATATTTTTCTAAATCACATTTTTAAATGGATAGCCTTCCATTTTATGAATGTGTCATAATGTGTTTAATTGATTTTCTGTTGAACATTTAATTTATTTCTGGGGCAGTGACATTTTGATTTTAATTACGCACAGTGCCAAAACAGTATCACAGATAAATAGGCTGGATTCATATTGTTTGGTCACAGGATTTCCTTTGTCATTGAATAAAATTTGTAAAAGTACTTTTGCATTTCAGAACAAGTTTACTAAGTGGTTATCTTCTTGATGAAATGCCTCATGTGATGCAGACCAGTGCTATTTAGAAGCACAAGTTTATTGAAAAATTATCCAACAAATACGTACTTCCACAAGCAGAATTTTCCATTCCAAGACTTCTGAGGTAAAGGGGAAATTGGTATAATCCTTACTGCCACAGTAAAATTAAAATCATGCCGCAATAAAGTCCTTATACTGAGCAGTTAGTGGCTCCTGGGAAATGATTTTTTATTAGAAAAAAACCAACAAATGACATTGAATCACTAGCTTTTTTTGGCATGTCATTCATTACTAAGGAAATATGAGAAAGACCACTCGGTTTGAAAGTCAAAACAAACCACACCATTGTTCAAGTCCTCTGGTTTTCGAGGGCCTAAGATGTGTCCCAGCTCTGGTGTTCCAGTTGCGGTGTCTTGTAAGTAAGTTCTTGCCTATTAATTGAGTAGGGGGCCACTGCACAATCTCTGTGGTCCCTTTTGTTCTAAGAACAGAAATTCTAAGAATAGAAAGATGCAGAAATTCACACAGAGTTAGGCCCAGAGCCAGGGATATTGCATTCTTATGATTCTGAGCTCTGCAGAACACCTACACACACACACACACACACACACACACACACACACACGTACAGTTCCTTTAAAACAAAACGTAAGAGACTTTGATTCCAAAGTCACCTACACCATTAACTAGCTGTCTTAGAGTTCACCTTTGTGTGTCAGTTTTTGCATCTATAAAGTAAGGGGTTAAACTAGAACAGATGGAGAGCCACAGACTTTTGGTGCTGGAAGGTACTGTCAACCTTTAAAACAGAAAGGTAAGCGGTTTAGCCAGCAACATGGAGGCTATTTGGGTAGTAGAGGAATTGCAATTTGGGACATGCAAACTGTGGCAAACCATGGGCAAGTCCAGAGAACAAAGGTGAGCAGCATTTTTTGTTTTTATCAGCACAATCACCCTTTTGTTTTTGTTAATTTTTCTCACACCTCATTTATAGAGGAAAGGAAGAAGCTGGGGGTGGTGTTTAGAAGAGAGGAGAGTTTGGGGTTGTGGTGGCTTCTCATTGGCTGAGTTGCAGTGAATTCTCATTGGCTGGGTTGTCACTGGGTGAGGAGAAAATCTTCCTTTTTTCTGCTGGAGTAGTACCTGCCTGAGCGCCTCCCTCTTTAGGGTTTCCTGACTCCATTTTGAGTGAGGTTTCCTTTTATTCATGTTCCTAGTCCTTCGTGGAATCAATGCAATCCTTTCTTTTTCCAAATAGGAAATCGAATGCTAGACAGGGTCGGGGGATACAGAGAGTAGGGGTTACAGCTCAAGTTTATACCCAGATCGTTTAATAAGCACATCCAGTGTGCTCTCACATGATTACCAATCTCACAGCTATTTTGCTCTAAAATTTATGAATTCGTGATCATCCAAATGAGAGTTTATACTAAGAGTGAACATGATGACTAGGATCCTATAAATTTGTCATGTTTTGGGCAGGGGGACTGTTGCTCAAAATTGGCAGTCAGCTAACAAGCTTTGAGTGCCCTTTGAACGGAGGTTGTTTTGCTCTTCATCCAGAGAGAATAAATTTAAACCATCATCTATCTTTCTTGAGTCCCTATCTGCCCGTTCTCAGACTCAGCCCTGGCTAAAAGCATGGCCAAAAATAGTAACACAGAAAAAACAGATACAAACAAGTAGTAACTTGGAGGGGGAGTGGGTAAAGCAAATGATCACAGAGCAGACTGTGTTATTTATTCGAGTCAACTCTTAAAATAGGGACAGGCATAATCTTGTGGACACAATCTTATTTTGAAATAAAGTACTTTCTATTCAAATATCAGCTGGCCTTGGGGCTAATGTTAATGCAGCTTTGCAACCAGTTACTTTGTAGATGACACAGTATATCAGCAGATTTACATGCAACTGTGACCCTGGTGAGGCTAACACTTGCTCCTTCGCTGGGAGGTAAGGCTTCAAGGGAGTCAACTTGCAGACAGTGGTACAGCCTTCCTCAGAGGCTGCCAGGTGGGAGGTGGAGAGGGTTCTCTGATCCCAATCATTTTCCCTGATGTAGATGTTGTTGGATGCATTAGGTGTTATTAGCAACTAGAGTCAACAGGACAACATAGGGGTGGAGATGTAAGAAATACGTAGCAAGCAGAGAACCAGAAGTTGCCGGATCATGTAGAAATGCACTCCGGGTTCGGCCCCTGGCCAGGGGTTGGAGCTTCCTTTTCTGCTTGTTTCTTCATCACTGACATAGGCATTGCTAACTGTTCTTGAACGTGTTTATTCAAGGAGTGAGAGAGTCGAATTACCCTACACCCCGAGTACTGATTACGGTTGAGCGTGAATTTTCCTCCAGCCCACTTAAGGATGGGAAAGATTAGTTGAGCAGACGATCACACTAGCTACCAAAACCTTCCTAGAGGAAATGGACCACCCCTTAGTTCTCTATATCATGATGCTATGGCAACATGCCAGAAAGGAGGGATCAGTAAACTTTTTCTGTGAAGAGCTAGTTAGGAAGTATTTTCAGCTTTGTAAGCCACACAGTCTTCGTTGAAACTGTACAACTCTGCTTTGTAGGCTGAGTGCAGCCATAGACAACGAATAAATGAGTGAGCATGTCTGTGTTTCAACAATATTTAATTTACAAAAAGAGGGGCAGGATGAATTTATAGTTTGCCAACCTCTGCCAGAGAACGTAGACCTATCTTATATCTGTTATAGATGTGGGTGGTGCTATTTTCTGCTAGTTATTCATTTAGAAATCTTTGTGTTATCTTTGATTTCTTTTTCTCCTTTATTTTCCACATTTACTCATTAATCAGTGTAATTGATTCTCCCTTCTCAATAGCTTTTCTGTCGTCTCCTCCAAGGCCTTTTTTGACCAACTTATCTAAAGCAGGTTCAACCCATCTGTTTCCCATCTCATCGCACTGTGTATTATTTCCTTCATAGCTCTGGCTACAGCAGGAAATTATCTCATTTATTTGCTTACTTGTTTATTATTTGTCTCCCACACTGGAATATTCTTGAGGGCAGGTTCTTTGTCTCTCTTCTTTACTGCCGGGCACAAGGCAGGTGCTTAGTGAATATTTGTTAAAGAGAAAGGACCCAGGGACTTCACTGGGGCCGAGTGGTTAAGACTTCACCTTCCAATGCTGGGGGTGCAGGTTTGACCCCTGGTTGGGGAGCTAAGATCCCGACATGCCTTGGGGCCAAAAAACTGAAACATAAAACAGAAGCAATATTGTAACAAATTCAATAAAGACATTAAAAAAATGGTCTACATCCAAAAAAAAAAATCTTAAAAAAAAATAAAGAGAAAGGACCCAGAAAAAGTCCCCTAGCCTCTAATTTCTCACATTCTGCATTTCATCTTTCATGTGAAATCTAGAGCTATGACATCAGTCAAGGCGCAATAGGAAAAAGCTAACATGCTTAAAATAGAATAAATAAAGAGGGGATTAATACAGGGGCTGTGAAGCCACTATGGAGAACAGTATGGATGTTTCTTAAAAAACTAAAAATAGAGCTACTGTATGATCCTACAATCCCACTCCTGGGCATATATCTGGAGAAAACCATAATTCGAAAAGATATATGTACCCCAATGTTCATCACAGCACTATTTACAACAGCCAAGACATGGAAGCAACCTAAATGACCATTGATAGAGGAATGGGTAAAGAAGATGTGGTACATATATACAATGGAATATTACTCAGCCATTAAAAAGAATGAAATAATGCCATTTGCAGCAACATGGATGGACCTAGAGATTGTCATACTGAGTGAAGTAAGTCAGACAGAGAGAGACAAATACCATATGATATCGCTTATATGTGGATTCTTAAAAAAGGGTGCAAATGAACTTATCTACAAAACGGAAATAGAGTCACAGATGTAGAAAACAAACTTATGGTTACTGGGGTGTGGGGGGGGTAAATTGGGAGATTGGGATTGACATATACACACTACTCTATATAAAATAGATAACTAATAAGGACCTACTGTATATCACAGAGAACTCTACTCAATACTCTGTAATGGCCTATATGGAAAAGAATCTAAAAAAAGAGTGGATGTATGTATATGTATAACTGATTCACTTTGCTGTACACCTGATATTAACACAACATTGTACATCAACTATGCTCCAATAAAAATTAAAGGGGCTGTGAATAAAAGTGTGTGCACGTGACAGAAACAAAAAGGAATAGTGGGGCTCTTAACCATCCATAGGTCTGAGATCGCAAGTCAAGGAGTTGTAACAAAAGCCTGAAATGAGAGGGTTCTAGGGAGAGACCCACCATCTCAGTCAGCTTGGGCTGCCATAACAGAATACCAATGACTGACTCAAACAAGAGAAGTTTTTTTCTCACAGTTTGGAGGCTGGGAAGTCTAAGATCAAGGTGCCAGGCACTCAGGTCTCTGGTAAAAACTCCCTCCTGGTTTGCAGATGGCCTCCTTCTTGCTGTGTCCTCATGCAGTGGAGACAGAGTAAGCCTTCCCATATCTCTTCTACAAGAATGCAAATCCCGCCCTCCTTTAACCTTAATTTCTTCCTTATTCCAAATATAGTTGCATTGGGGGTTAGGGCTTCAACACACGAATTTGTGGGAACACGATTCAGGCCATAACACCCCCCCGATGACCGGACCTGTCCCCTTTGGTTATGCAAGGCAGCCAGCCAGAGACAACGCCCAGGATGGGAGCAGAGGAAGAAACACCCTCACCTCATTCTCATCCCTTCATCAGCTCTGCTCGGACTGTGAGAACCCAACCACGGCCCAGAAGGTGAGGGAGACAAGGAGACAACTCATAAAATTTATAGTTAAAAGCCTCCTGGATTTGGAGTCGTACACAAGACCTCTGGTGCCCTCATCCCTTTGGCCTCTTGGCATCCACTCGTGTTTGTGAAAAAAGTTAGTGTCCCCGTCGCAGAGGACACATGGATTCCCATCAGTTACTGAATCGTCAAGGGGTGATTTGGCTGAATTGTCAGTCAGTCATGCCCGTGTCTGGAACTACAACATTAGTGATCACTGGGGTTTTTCATGCAAGGCAGCGTAGGAAAAAAGGGAAAAAAAATCAAATGACACAAACTGTAGCTGATCCAGTCCCCACATCTGTAACTGGACTTAGCAGAGTTGGGTAATTAGTGCTTCTTTCCTCTCCCACACGTTCATCTTATTTGAGGGTCTGTCTCTTGGAGTCATTTTTGTACTACAGGTTTCCCCTGCTACCTGAAAGTAGAGCATTCCTGTGAAATCTTTCGTAAACCAAAATGGCATAAAGCGAAGAAGAAGCAATTACCTTAAGACATATCTTGCTAATGGATGCACAAAATAAATGGAGTTGAAGCACAGATGCTCAGAGACACAGTTCAGAGCTGTGGCCGCTTGACGCTGAGAAACAGTGTGGTTCCCAGGGAAGGAGTTTGGTGGTGCTGCTGTTGCTACCTGCAAAACAAATACTGAATGCTGAAAAAAAATCTCCTTTTTTTGTAAAGGTGAAGATCCTCTCTGGATTTCTTTCGGTTAGCAAAAGCAGACACTAATGTAGGTCTTTTGAAAAAGCGAAGTGGCATAAAGCAAACTTTCAAAAAACAGGGGATACCTGTACTGCATTCATATATGCAGCAGGAACCATATGGCAACTCAGATTGATACGAAACAAGGTTCTCTGCCTTCCCCAATCAACAGACATTGACTAGAGGTCAGACCAGAAATTCAGGCAAGGCTTTACTGGGACTCCTGCTGCAGCAGTGGGGAGCTAAAACAAGTACCAGATTCCCTTGCTCACTCGCTCCCCGAAGTGGGGGGGGGGCAGCTGGTTCCTTTTGTGGGGTGAGGGTAGGTGGGGGTGTGTCCAGGGGTCGGGCCGGAGGGGTGGCTTGGGTGTTTTGCCCACCCCTTTGGTGGTGTTGAGTGCAGGGGGCATGCACAGTACCCTGCTTTTGCTCCCAGCTCTTCAGAAATGGCAGTTGGGGTGTTTTGGGGTCTTTTTGTGTCTTTTGTCCAGAATTTTGTCTTTTGTCTTTTGTCCCCAACTGCACATGCATGCCATTATTTTTAGTCCCGTATAGTTTCTTTGTACTTCGTTGCTTGAGAAGATGTTTGTCCAGGTGCCAGCATTGCAGCACTGCGGCAAAGGGTCCCAGGTCCCAGCCTGTCTCATAACTGCTCAGGCTCCCAACTGGTCCAAACCACACAGAAGCCAGAAACCAAGGAAGTGTTTTGATGTGGTCCAGCCAGAGTGGCCTCTGGGGGCAGAGAACTAGGTTGAGAAAGGTGAGAGGGGGTCTTGAAGGGCAAACAAAAGATCTGGTGTATCATTATACTCTTGAAACACAAGTCAGGTGATTCTTAAAACAAAATCTCACCTGTGATGGCTTTTTATTGCCACAAAATAAAAGCCAAAGGACTTAACATGATACCGAAATCCTCCCACAATCTCTCTTCATCACAGCTTTCCTGCTTTGACTTTCATCTCTTTTGCAATCCATGTTGCTATTTGTACCACGCACTTTGTATTTTTGTTCTCCTTTGTAACTCACACCAGGAGGCAATTCTTCCTTGTCTGATCTTAAAACTCAGTTTAAACTTCTGTCCTTCTGAAGCTGTATATTATAGTTCCTTCTTCTCTTCTCCCTCTATAGTTATTCCAGTTGTATTATCCTTCTCCTTAATGGAGCCCCTACTGTATTTATGGATTGTGTTAGGGGCATTGACTATATCATTAATTCTTATAGGAATCCAGCAACATGGCTATTCGGATTCCTTATTACAAGTAAAGAATCTGAGCGCCAGAGTGATCTAGCTGTCACCATCTTACCCACTGAGGATAGCATAACTAGTGATGGAACAACCAGATGTAGGGAGCCTCCTGATGGGACGCATTGTGAGATACAGATCACCTCCCAGGAGGGATTCTTGCCAAAATGTTTAGCTTAAATCTAATCATGTCTTTAGATCTAACACCTGATTTGTAGGGAATACGGGGAGTAGAGGACCATGGTAAAGTAGTACCTGAAGAAACAGTCAGACAAAAGCATGAAATGGGACCTTCTGTAAGACAACTGGTCTACTTCCAGTCAATGGTCAATTTTATGGAAAAAAAGGAAGATGGAGAACTCTTCTAGATGGAGACATAACAGATATAGAACAACCAAATACAGTGTGTCATCTTTGATGGGGTCCTTATTTGCCCAAAGTCATAAAGCATGTAGCAGCAGAGTTGTAATTCAAGCTTATCGTTGTTGGAGCTGGTAGAGCAGCTGTCTGTGCCCTGCCTGGATCCTCATGGCACTCAGTGTTCCCATCTCTACCAGCCCTTCTGTGTCAGAGGCTCTCTGCCTGGGGGCTTTCTCTTTGGGGGGAGGGGGCACTCCTGGGGCAGTCCAGAAGGGGTTGGGGAGTTAATGGCCCTGGGAGTAACCCTCAGCCAATAAAGGAGAAAGTTTGGAAACTAAACAACTCAGCTTCCTCTTTGGGGTGAAAAACTCTGAAGCAGGTTTTCCACCATTTCCCAAGCGCGGTTTCCACCATTTCCCAAGCGCGGTTTCCACCATTTCCCACTGGTCCTGGTGGAATTTATTCCCACTTACTCACAGAATCCATCTCCTCATTAGCACACCCTGCGTGGACTTCCTTCCCACCCTGACCCACTTCCCCACTGCACAGGCGGTGCTTCCTGAGATCACTTTCCAAATAAACCACAAACACTCAGCATCCTTTCCTCCAGGCCTGCTTCTGGGGTAGCCCAGTTTAAAACAGGTGTCCAAACTCCTGCTCTTTCCCCCAGACAACAGTGCTACCCTCACCCACCCAGTCCTGTGACACAGTTGGTGGGCAGCTGCATGGCATAGTTCACAGAAGGGGACTAGGTTTTGCAGGCACCTAAACCCAGAGCCCACCCCCGGCTTCTCCTCTAGCTTATTGCCTGACCTCAGGCAACTGAAACTCTCTGAGTCTCCATATTCTCATGGGCAACATAGGTTAACGATAGGGAAGTTCCTCTATTTACGGGCTTTCAACCTATGAGCTCTCAGGTGCAACGGATCTTGTGCCACTTGGTGACTTTTCTGGCACTAGGTTTATTGATGAGCTACGAACGTTTACAAAACTAGGTAATAATTGAAGTAACTCACCGTAAGACGCTAATGATGCTTGAACAAGTTCATTTTGTACACGTGGACTTAGCACAGCCTCCAGGAACGTGATGCACTGGTGAGTCAATGCGTTTCTGAGCCAGTCAGGGAATGACTGTCAAGATGACGTATCCAAGTAGAGGACACAGCCTCACGTCCGACAAAAGAGCTGCCCAGTAATAAGAGCCTTTGTGGTCACATGTCTTTCTCTAGAGGGGGTGGAAGCAGTGTTTTCTTCATTTCAGAAATTTCCTTATAGTATTATGCAAAAATGAATAAGACAAATTTTACATCCTGCAGCTTCTTTTTCAAAATATGTTTGCAAAATTCACAGTGTATCACCAGCAGCACGCTGTACTGGATGCCCACTTACCAAATGCAACCTCGTTCATTTTCACAGCTTCCTCGTAGCAAATTTTCTTCTTTCATTTCTCTGTCTCTTTATCACATCATTGGGTTTGTGTCAACCGATCTAGTGCTTTCATACCGTCACTTATGAGAGTTTTCGTCTCCAGGTTCTCAGCCTGTGGCTCTCACTGTTTAACAATCAACTTGATCTACCTTGCCTCCTCAACACACTGGCATAATTTTTGCAGTTTGAAAAATTGTTTTCCTGTTCATATTACTGATTTCATTTAGTTTTCAATTCTAGTAAGCCTAATAGGTATAGCGACTAATAATATATTCACAACTACAAATTAGCTTTCTCTTGATAGCAATTTAATAATATTACTTAGTGACCTTGTCTGTTTAGCATTTCTTGTTCTTCAACAAATATAGATTATTAAGTTGCTCTTTTTAGTCTTAAACTGCCTTCTTTTATTATTTCTCTCCTTTCATTAGGTTATTACCTGTATGAACATAATGGTCTCTTACTCTGTGGGTTTACATCTAGACCAATGCTGTCCAGTAGAAATTTCTAAGGTGATGGGAATGCTCTATATCCGGGCTCTCCAGTAGGGTAACCACCAGTCACATATGGCTGGAGAGCACTAGAAATGTGGCTAATGTGACTGAGGAACTGAAATTTTCATTTGATTTACATTTTTTTTTTTTTTTTGAGGTATGCGGGCCTCTCACTGTTGTGGCCTCTCCCGTTGCGGAGCACAGGCTCGGGACGCGCAGGCTCAGCGTCCATGGCTCATGGGCCCAGCCGCTCCGCGGAATGTGGGATCCTCCCGGACCGGGGCATGAACCCGTGTCCCCTGCATCGGCAGGCGGACTCTCAACCACTGCGCCACCAGGGAAGCCCCAGGTTAAATATTTTTGAGTCATCTCTTATCTGCTTTCTCCCCTCCTCTCAGAGCCTCATTTCCCTAAGAGGCCCAGAGTCATCCTGTTTCTCCAGCCGACCATTTGCCGTGTCCCCTCCACCCCCTCACTCTGGACATCACCGCGTGCCCCTCGAATCACTCACTTCCATGAAATGCTCAGAATGGACAGGCTTTGTTGTCTCCTCCTGAAACTGTGTATCCACCGGGGCCACCCGGCGCTGCAGTGGGGAGGACAGGCCTGCAGCAGAAATGGTGCTGTGCTTCTCACCCACGTGCCGTGACCTGGGTCTGGGCGAGTCACATCACCCCGTGTCCTCAGCTATAATGTGGGGATAATAACAGCCTCTAGTTCATGGAGTTAATGTGAATATTAAATAAAACACCATACACAGAAGTGTTTAGTCTAGTGCTGGGTACACAGTAATTATCAAATAAGTGGGTTGTTGGTGGTGGGTTTTGTTTTTTGATTTTTTAGGGGAAAGTGGCTTATATGCTTCATATGAATTTCTAAGGATAATATTGCAACAATGGTAGACAGTTTGCGGAGAGATTCCTAATGCTCTTCACAGGGTCCTCTATACGTATATATTTGTTGACTGCATGAATAAAGGTTGAATTACTTGCTTCCTCTGACAAACAGATGACCTGTTCTTGACATGTTCAAGGTTACCTGCTGAGTCAGTAGAGGCAGCGGTCAGAAGGCCAGCTTTAACTATTTGACTCTGTGCTCTCAAAAATGTTTTTTTTTAATTTTAAAAATTTATTTAATTTTGGCTGCATTGGGTCTTCATTGCTGTGCGCAGGTTTTCTCTAGTTGCGGCGAGCAGGGGCTACTCTTCGTTGCGGTGCGCGGGCTTCTCATTGTCGTGACTTCTCTTGTTGCGGAGCACGGGCTCTAGGCCTGTGGGCTTCAGTAGTTGTGGCATGTGGGCTCAGTAGTTGTGGCTTGTGGGCTCTAGAGCGCAGGCTCAGTATCTGTGGCGCACGGGCTTAGTCGCTCCGCAGCATGTGGGATCTTCCCAGACCAGGGCTCTAACCCATGTCCCCTGCATTGGCAGGCAGATTCTCAACCACTGCGCCACCAGGGAAGCCCCTCAAAAAGATTTACTATTCAAAATGAGCATAATATTGTCAATGGCAAGTGTAATTTGGCAGAGTGGGACTTTATGTTTCCAGTTTACATTATGCCTTGTTTGAATGTTTTATAAGCATAGATTATTTTTATAATAAGAAAAAGTAATTACATATAATTATATTAATCAAGTACCTTGAATTACTACCACAGTACCTGTGTGGAGCCTCATGATTAACATTTCTGACTGAAGAAAATTTGTAATACTTGGCAGTTTACCTAAAAATTCTGATAGGTTGTTCAGTATTAGTATTTTCTTTATGGTCAGTAAAAAAAAAAGTAAGATTCATGTGAAATTGACCTAATAGGTCCTCAGCAAACACACACGCAGTTTTATAAAAATTCAATACACAGGAAATTCTAATCAGAACAGGGTAATACACTTACCAATCTTCGTAGTGATCAAATCTTTGATGTCATTATTTACTCTTTGTAGGGCTATATTTTTCTCAGAGAAAAAGAAGAAAGGAAAATAAAAAAAGAGACTGTCTTCAAAGCCAGTAGCTATTGCATATTTTTTTTCCTAATCCATGTGGAGTATAGTGGTAAAGAATTCATAATTTCCTTTAAGAATTGACCTTGTAAAAAAAAAAAAAAAAAAAAGAATTGACCTTTGTGGTTAGAAATGCCTTGCAATTAGCGGATACAGATAGGTGAATCAGATTAATAAATGTGCTAAGTTTCATTATTTTTCCACTGGTAGCTCCCAGATTAATACAACAACAAAAATTAAGGAAGTTGAATTTTTTTTTATTCTATGCTTAAATTAAGAGAGTCATACATTATTGATCTGGATACATTTGCAAAACCTACGTGATGTACCCCTGGTGAAGCCCTGTGAAATGTGACCTCTGCACATTGCTAAATTGTACAAAACTTCTAAATAAAACATTAGTATCTCTAATATGTTTGCCAAAATAATGAATCATAGTAGGCTGCTGTCGGTAAGTTAACAGCCAGTGACGTGTGTTCCTTTTGCTTTCCTTTAACGTTAGAGCAAGCGGTTGGAATCTTTATCACCAAAACCAAACTACTGGGAGCATTCTTATCCCTGGGACAGTTCGTGACTCACACGCTGATCTCAGAAGGGCTGTGATGGGCATTTACCACTGACTCAGTTACAGCGTGTCAGAATCATGAATAAAATATATGTTCTCCCCCAC